GAAATTAAAGCATCAGCAACTCCTAATAGGGAGAATTTACTTTTCCAGGGGACCTATGCTAGCAGTAATTGCATCAAATACATGTTTGGGCACGTGTGGTTTGGGGTGTATCCACACCACTGTGTTGACAGCAAATTCCACGTGAGCTTGAGCATAGATACCCATCTCAGCCAGCAATGAGATTTTTGCAGTGGAAGCGATCATAAAAGCAGGAAAAACTGACATCAGAAACTACTTCAACCATCCCAGCAAAAGCATATCTGCAGATGTAGTCAGAGCCCTGACTGCTGTCTCTGAGCACTGCTGTGACAAAGGGACATACTTGTGGGGAACGGTTCCAAGAAACGATGACTACCCAAAAGACAACAGAAGCTCTCAACACCGCACAGGACTTAATATTCCTTATCTTCAGCAGTCAAACAATATTAACCGATCAGATCCACCCCTCACTTCGAGTGACGTTCTTCCCTTCTTTGAAATGGGCATAAGTAGATTTAGAAACTGCCACACTCAGGGCTTACCTGTGAATTTCTTTAGTTCATACCCAACAAACAGTCCAGTCCTTGCCAAAATCACATTTTATATGCAATGTTTCTATTATATGCATGTCTTAATCACAGTAAAAGATCTTTTGCATCATGGAGCTTTATTTTTTGCTGTATGAGATTATGAGCACACCTTTCGTAACAGTTTTGCTGATTGGTAAGAAGTCCTCACGCATGTCTTTCTAAAATAACAGTAATTGTAGAAATAATTTCTGCCACTTACCAGGATATTATGACCACGAACATTCCTCCACTTAGTCACCGGTTCTGTCAAAACCTTGTTAAAAAGAATTACTCCATGTTAAACATGGTTTAGATTCTAAATACTTAATTTGACCCTACAAGTCTACAACTATTTTTAATGAATACTCATTCAGTAAGTCAGAGTATTCAGGACTTGTATTGGAAAACTCATCCCTCTCCAAAAAACAGCACTGAATCCTGTAATACAAAAGGTAATAATGAACACTGTTAAAAAATAGAGAAATATCATTATACAGTATCTTTTTAGCATTTTTAAACCACCAAAATAAAACACTGGATTGATTACCTAATAAGCCTGGATATAATTTCACTTTTTTGAGTCAGAATCAGTACCATGTAAGGGAAAGAATAGCTTAGCTGAGTACTGATTGCAGTTCAATGACCTGCTCATTCCCTCACAAATTAATTTCTCGGAGAGTAACACTTGTCAGCAAAGGAAAAGAGGATCAGACTGCTATCACATTGACTTTTCATTTTATTTTTGCGCTCTAACAAACAAAATTTATTCAAAAATTCTATGAAATTAATCAGAAAAGCTTCTACCCTGAATAGGTAAAATCACAAGAGACTCACCTGGTTCAAACAGGGGGTAAGACTCCAACGATAGTAGAGCCAGGCCTAAGAGAATCTGATAAGCCTGGGAAGTTAACTAGCTTCTTAAAAAATGTTGTACTATATGCAAATTAAAGTTTGCTATCCTTTGGGTTAATAGTTATTTACTCCATAAGGATCATTCCTGTTAAATTACCAAACAACATCTAGCAACCCAGCATTTCTATGAGGAATCCTAAGAGTTATTATCAAATGTGTTCCCAGGTCTGCCGGGAAAACTATTAATATCCGATGTACACAAAAGCAATTGCTCACTGAGGTTTGATCTTGATTTTGTTTCAAATACAGTAAGTCTGCCCTTCCCCTAATCTTGTTCTAAGCAGTATGAAATCAAATACCATATCAGTCTAAGAAATCTCCAGAAACAATTCTAACAGATTTTTCATTTTTTAAAAAAGCCATCCATTTACTGGGATCTCAGTTACATGACATCAGTATTTTTACATCATTACTTCTTTGTCTTTACTTTGCTTTTCACAAGGTACATCTAAGATTTAAGTGACATGAAATAGCAAACGAGCATGCCCAAACATGCCCAACCCATGCGGGTCGCTGTTACTTTACAGAGGTACAAACTCTAACCTGCAGGTTTTACTGACATTTTGGCATCCAGTGCTATATTACCTATGATCTAAATTTCTCTTCTACAGTTTGACTATAAATAGTTGGGGGAGGTGCACCAGTAAGTGCACTGGCTCACAACCTGCTGCTGCTTTCTCCTTAGCCTAAGAAAGGACAACACTTCTAAATTAACTGTCAATTTTGTCAAGACAAGCAACTGCTTAATGATGTAAATAAAGACAAAGAAATGTACATCCAGTACCTCAATGCTGGTAGTTTGTGCAAAATAATCCAGGCATGTTGTTTTTCCGCTTGCAATGTTCCCCTCGATACATATCTGATGAAAAACAGTATCACCTTTAAAAAACATGCTATCACATAGTAGTAAACGGCATATGTAAAAATATACTCTTTCCACATCAAGCATACTATTTCCTTATAATGTAAATAGATTATTTTAAAGGAAGACATTGGGGATCAGTTTGGATTTTGTGACTCCCTGCAGACCACCACTTTTTCTCTCCCTGACATACATACACCAACTGTCTCTTTACCAGGCACGGGGCAGCCCTGCTTTCTGGTACCCCTGCAGTTAGCTGCCTGCCCGTGCTTCCAACTTCCCACCCCCTTCCCATGGCCCCCAGGAGTTTCAGAGGGTCACCTGCTGGGCTGCTGCTCCTCCACACTGTCTGCCACAACTCACCTCAGACTTCAACTTAACTTTCAACTTAAAATAAATGCCAACTGAAGTCATAATTTCAGTATCCACAAAATAGATAGCTTAAACCTTAAGATGCATTAAATTTTTATTTTCAGAAACCTGCACAATTAAAATAAGAGAATTTTGTTTCAGCTGTCTTGAAATAATTTATAGCTTAAAGTAATTAGATTCCAAATACAAAAAAACCCAACTCATTTCAACTTAAAATAAATGCCAACTGAAGTCATAATTTCAGTATAAAAAAAATAGATAGCTTAAACCTTAAGATGCATTAAATTTTTATTTTCAGAAACACAATTAAAATAAGAGAATTTTGTTTCAGCTGTCTTAAAATAATTCATAGCTTAAGTAATTAGGATCCCAAATACAAAAAAACCCAACTCACAGGCAGGGTTGTATCGGGCAACTGCAACACTACACAGGCAACACTGACCCCACTTGGCCCTACACAATACCATGCATCTGCACAAATCCCTCACGACTTTATTGCAATTTACAGAACTAGATAAGCGTAGGTTTGCACCGAGTAAGGCCCAGTAATGGACCCACCACCTGGACACCACTCAGTAAAACAGCCATGTCCAGTGGCTGCCAATATACACATGCTCAGATTATAATAGAATAAGAGGTTGCACATTTTACATAGTTTTCTGAACAAAATGCAAATACTTACAACTGTCTTTTTATCATCTTTTATCAGATGTTTATCTAGAATGGAAATAAACAGGAGTTACAACCAAGAAGGAGATCTTCATAACTTTGAGTTATACTGAGCCCCTTAATGTGAGCCCCTCCATGAAGCTTTTAGGTGCCCTATTACTTAATACAAGTATTTGCTAAATTACCAATCTTTAAGGTTTTAGGTAATCATTGGGTCATGCAACAGACATGTTGTGGCATACACTGACACAGTTTTAGCTTAAGTTCTCTGTTGTCCTTGACACTATGAAGAGTCAAATGGTGCATGCCTACACTCTTTCAGCAGATTTCTGTTACACTTAACTGCTCCTCAGTTAGTTTCCACGGGAGAAAAAGTGAATTTTGGGAAGGCAAGTCATGGTGCAACGCCCACTGACTTCGCAGGCCTAGCTACAAAGTTAGGTAAGGATGAAGATTTTAGGACGCCTCCAAGACAAGCAATTTAGATGCCTTACATCTCAAAACTGCCTATATAAAACTTCTGCAAGCAATGCTAGGACCGCTAGACCCTTAACAAAACGAAACACCAAAAAAAGGCAGTTTCGGGTACCCCAACCCCACCCCTGCCGGTGAGGGACCACAAAGATTATCGGGGCCACGACGTACAAGAAATCGGAAGAAGCAGGTTTACTCAGCCCGAAGAGAGAGCAAGGGGAGTCCTGCCGCTGCCCTGTGAGGAGGCTCGGTGGCTCCTCACACCCACGTAGTCACTGGTACAGACTTTTTGAACTGAGCCAGCCATGAATG